AGGTTCCTTCATGTAATAATCTGCTAGAGGGTGTGGGGGGCCACAGCCCCGTCCTCCAGGGCGTGAAGCAGGTGTGGAGGAGATCAAAACTCCAGACATCCAGAGGCCCCCAGAACACAAGAGACCAAGGAAGACCAACAGAGGGGCAGCTGCGCCACTGTCCCGGAAAGAGCTGAGGAGAGTCCCAGATGAGGGCTCACTCAGCAGCCGCGGAGCAGAAGCCAGGGGGAGTTGCAGTGACGCGCCCGTGAGCTCCGCCGGCAGCCAGCTGCGCCTGAGTGACCGAGCCCCAGGCCGAGAGGCCGGGGGCACCCCACCTCCGAAGTGGCCCGAGCGAGCCCCAGGCTCCAGGCCCCGATAAGCGGCCGCCAAGGAGTGAGCCGGTGTGTACCTGGACGCCCATCCCCGGACACAAAGAACCACCAACGCACCGATGTCTGAGGGGGTCCGCCACTGGCAGGGGAAGTGGTGGTAGGGGGAGATAGGCCTCCAAACCTTGGAGGGCCTGAGATGTCCCCAGAGAGGTGGCGCCTGACACCCAACCTGACATATAGACACAGACATACAGGCACACACAGATACAAACATCCATTCCCACCCTCATGCTCTCATATGCACTTACTCCACACTCAACCAACGTGGAGACAGACATAAAGAGACGTTGTACACACGATCACACTCCCCAAGCGTACTCTACAAACCGGGTCTAGGTGCCCCCGCCCCTGGAGGGGGGAACTGCACCCAGACCCAGGTGGTGTTTCCCTTTTCCCTGCGGTGGGGGGAGGCAGACCGCCCCGACTCCGCAGCAGCAGGAAGGTTCCACACTCCAGACCGCAGTCGGACGGCCAACTCCTCCTCCTAGTCCTAGCCCCCCTGCTCCAGCAGGTCGCAGAGAATGGGGGTGAGAGAAGACTCCAAACCTCCCTCCACCCGCTCATTGTAATGTTGATGCATGTGTGTTCTAAGGTGCATTTAAAACCCAGGAGGGCTTGGAGCTACCTGCCAGAGAGCAGCAGGTAAGCGCATGGTCCCTCCTGCTAGCCCTCAATGTCTATGTGTATTTAAAATTGAGAGGTGGGCAACGACGCCAGGGGTGGGGTGTACACCCTGATGGTACTTTGGACTCCGTGTATCGTGCCCACCCCAAGATCCTATATGTATGTGTAATGAGAGTGTGAGCAATGTGAATGTCTAAGTTGTGGGATAAAATTGAGGCAGAGGCAGCCAGAAGGGGACAGAGGGGGGGTAGCCTCCTCTGCACCCTGGTGACATACCCCTACTCCAAGGCCCTGCATGTGTGGGTGGTTGTGGTGGAGCGGGAAGAGGGAGGCAGCTGGAGATGGGGAGGGAAGGAAGGGAGGGGCAAGTGACCCCTCCCTGGGGCCAGCTCCCCCGCTGACCCCAGTAGGCACTCCCATACTCCGCGACCCGCCAGGGAAAGGGGGCCCAGGCCCATCCAGACCGGGCCCAGTGCAGCAGCGCCGCCCGGCCCCACAGAGCCCGGGACAGTCCACCCAACCCCACCACAGAGAAAACTGCACCCACCCCACCATCCACTCATCTTCCAGACTGCATAAGACAATAAACACCCAGGCTGAGATCTTCCTCCACCTCTCCTGTATCTCCCCCTCCTGCAGAGGGAGCTCCTGAGGAGAGGAAAGCTCCTGCAAGATGTGACAATCTCCCCCACCAGTTGAAGAGCCCCCCAGGTGGCTCGATGCACCGGCGGCACCCTGCTCCAGGGCTGGGCCCCCATGCACCCACCCGCCCACAACCCCGGCAACACACCAACCAGGACCCAAGCCCCCGAGGCCCGGTCCGGGTCCCAGCCCAGAGACGGAGCGCCCCCAGAACCTCACGCCCATCCCGGACCCACCCAGGGGCAGCCAGGCTACCAGGTCAGTAACCCACATCCGTCAGCACAGACCCTCCCCTAGCCCCGCTGCACGCAGTCGCGAGGAAACAGTCACCTGAGAGCCAACAGAGCCCCTAACCGGACATGACCGCTACCCCGGGTTGAGCCCCCCAAGGAAGATGCCTCCGGGGAACCCCCCGACGCCCTAAGCCTGTCCCTTCCCCCACACCAATCACAACAGTGAAGGCGGGACCAAACTATGACCCCCCACCCCCACTAGGTGATGGAGCTGATCAAAGGAGCCCAGAGCAATTGATCTGATGTGGTGGCAGAGGCTGTATCAAGACTAATGTAATCTAATAGATAATTTCTATATTGGTTAGAATTAAGATTATTTTTATTTTTCCAGTTCATGAGGACTGTTTTCTTGGCTATGCATAGGGCAGTGAAAACCATATGGGCGATATTCTTTTCTGAAGTGACATTATCTAAGCTGCCCAACAAACACACTAAGGGGGAAGTTGGAATGTTACATTTCAGACACTTCGATAAGTCTTCACATATCTCGCGCCAAAACTTCTGAACTGGTGGACAGAACCAAAGAGCGTGGATATAATTGTCTGGTGAATTGGTTTGGCAGTGTGAGCAGTTGTTGGTAGACGTAAAGCCCATCTTGAACATCCGATGACCTGTATAGTGCACTCTATGTAATATTTTGTATTGAATTAATTGAAGACTGGGATTTCTAATTAGATGAAAGGTTTTTAAGCAAATCTGAGACCAGAAGTTTTGGTCTAAGTTAACTGATAAATCCGCTTCCCATTTTGCAATAGGAAGTGATATTGATTCATCTGTTTTATAAAGCATTCTGTATATTTTGGAAAGTAATTTGGGGGGTTTAAGAGTAAGAAATTGAACCACACTTGGTGGTGTTTGTAGTTCAACTTGACCCGGTTTAAATTTCTTTTTTACTATGGATTTAATTTGTTGATATTCTAAAAATCTTTTCTTGTCAATCCCATATTGTGTAACTAGTCCGTCAAATGAAATAAATTCTGTTCCTTCTAGTATATGTTCTAAATATTTGATTCCTTTATCACTCCAATCTGAAAAGTTTATCATATTATTGTTTTGTAATATGTCAGGGTTGTTCCAGATAGGTGTACGTTTGCATGGGATTAATGAAGACGCCGTCAATTTTAGAAACTCCCACCATGCTGTCAGAGAAGAGCTGATGTTGATGCTTTTAAAGCATTCATGTCGTTGGATGTTTGAGCTGATAAATGGTAGGTCTGAGATCTCTAGATTATTGCAGAGTGCTTGTTCTACATCTAGCCAAGGTTCATCTAAGAGGGTGTGTTTTAGCCATCCTGAGATAAACTGAAGCCTGTTGGCTAAGAAGTAGTGCTGAAAGTTAGGCAGTTCTAGTCCTCCTTTATCCTTGGTCTTTTGTAGTGTTTTTAAGCTTATACGTGGGGGTTTATTTTTCCAAAGGAATTTGGACATACATGAATCTAGAGATCTGAACCAATCTTGTGGCGGTTTAGTTGGGATCATTGAGAATAAATAATTTATTTTTGGTAAGACCATCATTTTTATAGCGGCAACCCTTCCCATGAGTAATATGGGTAGACATTTCCATCTAGCCAGATCATCTTCTACCTTCTTTAAAAGTGGGATATGGTTTAATTTAGTTAGATCTGCAAGCTTGGGAGAAACATTAATACCTAAATATTTTATATTTCCCGATTGCAGTGGTGTAGAAGAGGAATTATGGAAGGAGCAATTAATCGGTAGGACTGTAGATTTTGACCAGTTAATTGAGTAATCTGATATTCTTGCAAAAGAGTTTATCAATTCAATCACCCCACAGATATTGGTTTGTGAATTTTGGAGAAAGAGTAACACATCATCCGCATAAAGGCTGATTTTATGTTCCACGTTCTTGCATTTTATGCCCTTAATTACTGAACATCTTTCTTTCAGCTTAACGAGTGAACCGTCAGCTCGTTCAAACACACGTTAAAGTCCGTTTGGCTCGACACCACCGAACAGAGGCAGCAATATAACATAGCTCACATTAACAGTGCAGTGAATCCTGCTCGTGCCGTGATATTCAGGACTGCAAACCGAGCAGCATCACTGACTTTCAGCTTGTTGTGTTTGTGGATATATGACTGACTTTAATTATCCACAAAATCATCACATTCTCTGTAAGATTAAAGTCAACTATTGAACGGCGCATATTTTAAAGTAAAGGCTTTAAAACCAAGTTAGTACAAACATCGCTAATGTCACATAACTTTCCCGACATGTGGCCAACAGGAATGTTTTAATGTTCTTCATTATAAAAACATTTGCGCATAAATAAGTGACATAATATTCAGTACTTACTTCTGAAAGTTTACTCTCTGCCCGCTCCGCTTCCACCGTTTTTTTTTTCGGCAAAATTATCCACACCACCGCCGTGCTATGAAGTCTGGGATATGTTGGGCCATGAAGGCTACACCGACCCATCCTTAAAATTCAGGGAAATTAATGATGCATTTGAGGGCCGCATTTTGAGCAGCCTTTGAATTAGGACAGCCTTCGTCGTGTCGCTGTGACGTAATCGGCCTTAAAATGCGGCCTTTAAGGCTGCAGACCCTGAATTGGGATACAGCCCAAATCCGGTCATTGGCACTTCCTGGCTTGTGTAGTTACTAGGTAACAAAAGCTCAACACTGCCCCTAGTGTCCTGGAGCACTTCCGTTGTGTCTTGAATTTTGTACGTGTTTTGAATTTTGTACGTTTTGGAATTTGTAAGTGTTTTGGAGTTTGTGCATGCTTTGTCTCAAGGGGCCACCGTACAAATTAACTATGTTTAAAGAATCTTCTTCTGTATGGTTGTAACAACAATCACATTCAAAACTGTAACTGTGCAGTTACCTTTTACTTTAACATTATTCTATATAAAATTATCTAGTTTAACTGATACATTACTGTGTTTATTATAAGTGCATTACTAACACACTGTATCACTATAATCAGACTGGCATGTTTTGCATTCCATATATGACCAATATCAGGCCTGACCAATATTTGACAGGGAGACTGCCTCTTTTTGAAAACTGTCGGTAATTTGTTTTTCCCCTTGTTGAATCAGAATTGAGGGTTGGAGCAGTTTCCTCAACCACATAGCAGGATCAGAGGACTTCTGAATATTAATTTCTCTCTCAGCAATGGCTCTCCTGCACAGTGTCCTCTCTCCGGTCCTCAGCTGGACATGTCTCTGTTCACTAATGTACATATTCAGTACTGGACTGGTTGCTGCGGTTGCAGTTTTGACTGTGAGGAAAGTCTGGTACTCTCACAGGCTGTCATGCTTCAGCAAACCACCGGCAAACTCATGGCTGTTGGGCCATCTGGGGCAGGTACGATACACAGGCACCATCTAGTTTTATATTTACGTATCTCTACATCATAAAAGCTGTAGGGTTCATGTACTTTCTGTTGTGACACAATAGATTTTCTCTTTGATTACTGATCTTAAGATCTTGTTTTGTGATAAAACATGATAGATACGGGGCAGAGAAGAAGGTTTCCAGCTGATGGATGACATGGTGAAGACATACAAACACTCCTGCTCCTGGGTCCTTGGTCCTTTCTATCACCTGGTCAGACTCTTCCACCCTGACTATATCAAACCTCTGTTAATGGCACCTGGTAGGGTAAAACACAAACAGACCACATTTCAAGAGTTTTTGTTCTTCTCTTACATCATCCATCATCTACTTCCTTCAGCCAGCATGACGGTGAAAAATGGGCTCATTTATAACCACCTACAGCCTTGGCTGGGTGAGTCAAATATTTCTGTTTTTCTCATCTGTGGTTACATAGTTTACAGGATGTTCCTTTTAGCATCACTAACTCTGTTTCTCTTTTGTCTCAGGACGCAGTGTGCTGATCAGTAATGGCGAGGTGTGGTCTCGCAAAAGACGACTGCTGACTCCAGCTTTTCATTTTGATATTTTGAAGAGCTACATTACCATATTTAACTCCTCGTCTAAAATCATGCATGTAAGATTCACACAGCCATGCACAGAACTGCTTCCATGACGATTTTTGTTTCAATTAACCATTTAGACAAGCATTTGATCCAGTTTGATTTGTTGCTTTTTGGTAAAAGTGGTACAACCATGAGGAAAATTAGCTTTTTAGTTTTCTCTGTAGGTTCTAAATAAGTCATCTAGGTTGATTTCTAGTGTCATTCAACAAAAACAGCTTTATCGAGGCACTTGATGTTGTAAGTCAGAGATGCATAGGCTGTTGTATCATTTTTTTTTCCCCCAATGTGGATTGTTTTAATTTTTTTTTTTAATAGCAGATTGTGTAAAAACAGGAACTTGTTTATCCTTTTTGTAATTGCTTTAGTGGTATTGTGAAAGGAAATGTGGACAGGTCTTCGTCAATAAGAAAGCCTATAAAACCCTGCTGTAACATAAACATCTTGCAGTGTCAAGGCTGTGAGGGCTGTTTAAGCAAAAGTACAATATCCAAATACAGGCCAACAAAGAAGCGGATAAAGATTTTATAGAGTTTTTCACACCAGGAGAAAAAGTAGAGGTGAGTCTGGGAAAACAACACAGGAGTTTCTTCCAGGTTTGGAGGATGAGTTTATTTCTGCCCAGTGTTTGAGTTTTCAGATAGCGTAGTTTTGCCAATAGTGAATGTACTGCTCACTTGGAGTATGAGGGAGGGTTTTACAGAGGAAGCGTTTGCATGCTGGTTGTGTCCACAAGGTGGCAGCCATGGCAGGGTGAGCAAGCAGGTGGTTAATGCAGGATGATCCAGGTAGAATGCAAGTATTCACTAGCATACTGACAGACTATAGCGCATAACCTTTAGATGAGTCAGATGGTCAACAGGTGCGGTGGGAAACCATGGAACTCCACCCCAAAGGAGTAGGATAGTACCAGCATGGCTTGACTTTAAGATGCTAGAAGGAAGAGAGAAAACAACTGACTCGCACCCAGCCGTGACATACGGAATTGAAGAAAACTCCAACAATCAACCAACTTCCTGTGAGCAAGCATTTTATGACAGTGCGAAGGAGAAAATCTATTTTAAAACATCAATAGAAGTCTGTTACAATATTCCAGATTCCTGAGAATTCTGAAATAAAGAAAGAATCTGATAAACATTCTAAACACCCAAATATAGCTCACAAACTACTGCTAAATGTCAATTATGAATTAGTTTTCAATTATGCCAAAAAAAGCTCTTTTAAACTAAATGTGCCTGTAAGATTTGTAGAATTATATTTTTATCATCCCTTTCTCCTCCTCCTCTAATCTGCCTTCTCCACTGCTTTCTCCTCCCACATCTCCATCTGAGTCTAAGCCAGAGTTCAGCTGCTTGAAGTTGAGGACAGCATGAATGACGCCCCAAATATGATTTTGTTTCCATGCAGATTCTCACATCTTTGTCCCATTCCTCCCTTCTTGTTTCTGTTTTCAGGACAAGTGGTGCCGACTTGTAGCAGAAGGCAAAACTAATCTGGAAATGTTTGACCACGTCAGTCTGATGACTCTGGACAGTTTACTGAAATGTGCCTTCAGCTACAACAGCAACTGTCAGGAGTGAGAACAGCCACTTACTTCAACTGATATCTTCCATTTTTGTTATGATGGTGTTTCTAAGAAAATTGTCCCTCCAGGTCTTCCAGTGAGTACGTGTCAGCCATAGTGCAGCTCTGTGACCTGGTAGGACAGCGGCACCACAACATTTTACATCATTGGGACTGGATTTACTGGAAGACTCAGCAGGGGAAACTGTTCAAACAAACCTTAAATATTGTACACAGGTAATGTTCTGACCTTCTGATATTTGTGTAGCCAAGTTATACAAGTTATGTAGGAAGCTGCAGGGATCATTAATTTTAGTCTGCTGTATTCTGGTTTGCAGATTCAGCAGGGATGTGGTTCAGAAGCGACGTGCCCTTCTGAAAGCACAGAGGGAGATAGTGACACAATGTGAAGTTGCCCCGACATCACAGAGGAGGAAAGACTTTGTGGACATTCTGCTGCTGACAAGGGTAGGACAGAGGGACTCGGAGGAGCATCATAGTAGTAGTAATAAAATAAACAAACAAGAAGGGATGATAATCCACTTCCAGAGCCATTAATTTGATCAGTTCTGAAATGATCACATGGAACTGATCTGTGTTTAGTTTTGCTTATATAAGACATAGGACATCCACTTTCACAGTGCATTGAATAAGCCTGTATTAGTGCCTATTTAGCATTACACAGCTTTATATCAGACCCAGCAACACGCTCAGACAGAAACTGGTTCACCCGAAAGACAAAACGCCAAAACACAGACTTAACAATGTGGTGTATGCTGTACAGTGCAGCGAGGAATGCCCAGACCTCTACATCGGAGAGACCAAACAGCCACTTCACAAGCGCATGGCACAACACAGAAGAGCCACCTCCACAGGACAAGACTCAGCAGTCCATCTGCATCTACAGGTCAAAGGTCACTCTTTCAAGGATGCCAACGTTCACATTTTGGACAGAGAGGACAGATGGTTTGAAAGAGGAGTGAAAGAAGCCATCTATGTCCACTGTGAGCGACCATCTTTGAACAGAGGCGGGGTTTACGACACCAACTGTCTGCCATCTATAATCCAGTTTTGAGATCCTTCCCAGACGCCCTAACGCCCACTCACATCCTGGGCCATCTGACCTCAGGAAATCACATGATAAGGTGGGGCCAGGTTTCACAGTGAACTCACCCAAAACTCTGGCTGATTGGGACCCACACCCAGTTTCACACCTTGGCTCAGGCGATTAGAGGATCATCAGGGGGTCCTTTTGTCCCTCTGTGGGGGGAAACTCCCACTAGGTTTATATCTGGGACTCTCCACCATTTGACCTTAGAACTGAAGAAGCTTCTCGGATGAGAGGTGAAACGTCTTCAAGTAACTTAAAGAAGTCCAGACGCTTTTCCTTCCAAGCTCCTTTGACTACGATGACCTGGATGACTGAGAACCTTCACAGACACAGCTTTATATCCCACTCCAAGTAAAGTCCACAGGCACTGGAGCAGTTCATGTCAAACATACGTGCAACCTTAGCAAAATGGTGTAGGGGCTAAATTGAAGTTGGTCTCAGAGTGAGTAAATAGTTAAAGGTGGATTTAAAAAGTGAAGGGAAGGAGAACATCTAAAAATGTATTGCATTTTTGGGACTTTATCAGTGTTACTGATGTGTGTGTTGAAGGACGAAGATGGACAAGGCCTAACAGATGAGGAGATACAAGCTGAAGCCAACACCTTCATGTTTGCAGGTGAGACGCTACAAGGGCGTAGATTTGGCATGGACGGAGGGACATGTCCCCACCAATATCCAGCGATTATTGAATTGTCCCCACCAATAATTTGATCTCTTCGAGTAAAGAAAAACAAACCCGATAGAAAGAAGAAGAAAAAAGATCTGTCAACGTCTCATTCACCTAGCGGTGCAGAAAGAGTTAAATTACGTCCTCTATCGCAGCGGTCCCCAACCCCCGGGCATTTGGTACCGGGCCGCGAGAGTTGAGGCTCAGGTGTGAAATTTTGTTATCGTTAACTCGGTTTTCCTGGGTCTTTTCAGTGTGTTATGAATAAATCTTCTTTTTTTTCAGTACCGGTACTAGTTTTATTTTGTTGTATTTATCCGCAACACCTTAAAGGCCAGTCCGTGAAAATAATGTCGGGCATAAACCGGTCCGTGGCGCAAAAAAGGTTGGGGACCGCTGCTCTACTGAAGTCCTACGTCATGTGACAAATATGGCCAATGTGATTGGCTGTGCCTTTAAGGGAGCTCTGTTTAGTTTTAGCAGCGGCAAACCTGCGCTGCGAGGAGGAGAGGAGGACGGCAGCAAAGAGGAAGAACCTGGATATAAGAAAGTATTTTTCAAAGAAACCTGTAACTCACTTAAAGTCAAGTTCACTCATAAAATGTGTCCATCATAATAACGTTACAGGCTATGCCAGGCTTTGGCCCACATCAGTCTAAAATTGTATGCAACCATGAACGTGTTTTGGAAACTAACTGCACAACAGGCAGCACTATCAGTTCTCTCAGTCTCAGAGCAGCATTTCTAATTTTGATTGAAAGTGTCAGAGAAAACGGCAGCCTCGAGCAGCCAGGATATTAGTTTACAGAGGCTGTTAGAATTATATGTCTAACGTTAAATGTTGGTGACACAAGAATTTCATCTTAATGGCACTGACGTATTCATAGGGTTCATTTTTGAGACAAAATATCATGAGGTAGTCATGATTTTGCAAATATTCCAACCAACACAAAGCTCAGAGAGCAATGGTGACACAAGATCACAGGTGGAATGATGACTTGTTGGTTCATGACTGTATTTGAAGCACATGTGTGACTGCATGTATGTGGAATGTCTCACTGTTATTGATCAGGTGACAGAGGCAGCTCTGCCATGTTGTAGCTCAGACAGGTGGAGAGGCGAGGTCACAGGTGACTGACTGATGATTTGGTGCTATAGATTAACTAGTATTTATTATCATGACAACTGTTAGGCTGCTGCTGTAAATTGATTCATTAGTGTATATCTGACAAAGAATCTGAATTGACATGTCTCACTTTTTATATGGCACAAATCAATGTGTTATTTTATCAGGTGACAATATGTCCTAGTGCAGTCAGAGGGGAGGAGCCAGGGCCAAAGGTGAGGCACATCAAGCACAGAATAATACTTTTAATCTGAGGATAAAACGCAGGTACTGAGGCTAAAAGAAGCTTCAGTGCTCTCAGAAGACTAAAAACATGGCTACGGTCAACAATGACTCAAATGAGATTAAACAATGCTGCTGTATGTCCACCAGGAGAGACTGGACAGTATAGATGCAAAACCAATATGCCAGCAGTTTATCTCAGTTAACGAGAGGAGCAGGCCTGTGTGTGGCTGCTTCACATAGTTGACATTGAGTTGTTGTGTGGGACGCCAGTAGTCCATGTCTGTTGCTGTAACAGTGGTTCATGTTTAGAATAAGAAATCTCAGCTCACTGATTTGATCGGGGCAATAGTGCCTAAAATGTTGCATAATTTTGCTGAAAAATCTTTTACTTTGTGGTAATCTTAGACGAGTAGTTTTATGGACAAAAACCAGCAGGTCATTCAGTGTTCCCTTAGTGCTGATGTATCAGAGATGTTGGTGTACTATAACTGAACTAATGTTGCTAAGTCCTTAAAGTCATATTCTTTTATTGTCATGACTCTATTTTTATTTTTGTATGATACCTGATTTATATGGAATATGGCTGAAGTAAACTAAAGTATAAAATACTTAGTCAGTCATTTGTTTAATAGTAATTTAACATTATATAATTCACATATAAAACTATGAATTGTGATTTTAAATGGTTTAAAAGCAGGTAGAATAGCATAAGTAGGCAAGTATATTTCTCCTTTTTTATCAAGAACCAAAGACAAAAAGGGTGAAAAGAAAGAAACAGGGCAGGGTTCGGTGGTTGAATCATCCGTCCCCACCAATGCCAAAACCAAATCCACGCCCGTGAGATGCTACTCTGACACCAACTTTTGTGGTCAGATGTAAAAATGACAAACTATAATGTTAACGGCACTAGGATGAGTATGTGTCTTTAGAGCGCATAGTTTGTTGTCCTTCAAATGTTTTAACAGTTTGCAAATCTTCCTTCTTCTTCTGCAGGTCATGACACAACAGCCAGTGCCATCTGCTGGACGCTGTATAATTTAGCACGCCATGAACACTATCAGGAAAAATGCAGACAGGAAGTGATGGACCTGTTGGAGGGACGAGATGAAATCCAGTGGTCAGAAAATACAAATGGCAACAACATTATTTGCAGTTTCAAATGTTTACATATGAATATTATCTCAGTGCACTGACATGACTTAATTTTCAGGGAGGACCTGTCCAACCTTCCCTTCACCACCATGTGCATCAAAGAGAGCCTCAGACTCCACTCTCCTGTGCAGGCTGTATCACGGAGTTACTCTCAGGACATGTTGCTGCCAGGAAATCGAACAGTCCCAGCGGGTCAGAGTCAAAGCTCTCTTTCAAGGTTTCTAAATGGATTTTAGAGGTTAAAGAGCTGTGTCTCGTCATGAATCATACTAAACTTTATTAAATGCTTAATTTGTGAGACTGTATGTTAAAGGATCACACCAACAGTTGGTGACCAATAAAGATTGATGCTGTAAAGGGAAACTTCTTGTGAAACAGGTACAGTCTGCCTGGTCAGCATTTATGGAACACACCACAACCCTATTGTTTGGACAAACCCACATGTAAGTACTTGGTGACATAATCTGCATTTCTTCGACAAATCTATTGTGTGTTTAACCTTTCCCATTTGCTCTCTGACCAGGAGTTTGATCCCCATCGATTTGACCCAGGCAACAAAATGAACCAAGCTTCTCATGCCTTCATCCCCTTCTCCTCAGGCCCCAGGTTCAGTTTTAGCCTTAATCTAAATAGTACAACTAGGAAATGGACTGGTTAAAATATAACAAGTATCTCTTTACAGGAACTGCATTGGTCAGAAATTCGCCATGACAGAGCTTCAAGTTGTAGTGGCCCTGACCCTTCTCAGGTTTCGACTGACCCCAGGGGTGAACCCTGAACTCGGGAGCAGCAGAGTTCGCCGTCTTCCCCAAATCGTCCTGCGTGCAGAGGGAGGCCTGTGGCTGCAGCTGGAGCCTCTGAACACAGACTGAACAAACAGTCAGAGGAATGATCCATAAGATAATACTTGAACTTCATTTTTAATAAAGTGTTAGGAAAAGTTCAGCAGCTAGAAAGTGAGACTTGACATTGACATTAAAACTACAGCAGACCTGTGAAAGAATTTTGTTTGAATTTTGTTATTGTGCTTTAAGGAAAAAGGAAAAGCTTTCTCTTTATGGGGCAAATGTGCACAGATAGTCTTCAGTGCTCCCAATTCCAGTTTTATAAAGTGTAAAATGCAAATACTTATTCTTCCTGAAAACTTGAGAAAGTTTCGTCTGCTATATTCCATTGGATTTATTCAAATTCTGTGTTGCTATTTCCAGAATAACTTCATGAAAACATAATGAGCCACATAATTATCACTTGATTCATTATGAGTCTTTCGAGTTTAAAAGGTGTACAGGTTTTCCATTGTCATAATTTATCACCCTGATTATGTGATCAACACAGTTCTTGCTTTGCTTGTCCTCATGCATGAATTCATCTGATTTTGCCATTGCAGAATTTATATCTATTAGAAATAAAGGATGAATAGGCTGCTGCTCTGGACTAATCTCTTTTAAAGTCTGAATCCTATGGAGTTCTACTGCATCTTCCAAAACAATAAAGACGAGGTCCACATGGTTTTCCAACAGAGTTTTACAAATATTGGCCTATGCTAGCACCCACTTTAAAAAAAAATGGTAACTCAAATTCAGAATGACCACACACTATGCTCAAACATATACTGTGCCATCATTAGTCTCTTTCTTAAACCAGACAAACACCTTATATTTCATACAACTACTGCCCAGTCATTAATAATTAAAATGAGTGTTAAAATCATTTGCAAAGTTCTTTCCATCAGAGCAGAAAAACAAAAGTAGAAAAAGTCACTTCATTAAAATACATCCCAACCAAACAGGTTTCATCAAAGCTAGACATTCAGCCAATAATACAGACTTATTATGTAATAGACTACTGTTCCTTTAACAAATGACACAGGATCACAGAAAAAAAATTGTCTGCTACTTGCGGTATTTCATGTGTCTTATACTCAAGTGTGCTGAGTCCAGATCTATAGTCGGATTTTGCCTAGGACATCAGGTTCTGAAGTTTTACACGGTATCATTGGCTATTTATACCGATACGAGAAAGTAATTTCATATTCATTATACAGCCACTGTACATAACTAAATTTTGCTTCAAAACTGTGAGAGATTACAAAAACTTGTCCACATTAACAAACATGTGAACAAGTTCACTCGAGTGGTTATGCAACGCACATAGACTGTTGAAAAACTGCTTTAGGCACTTGTGAGTTTTTGCTGTTGACCTCTGCAGAAACCAGCAGTAGTCACCCATTATGTTGGGTTGTCTCCATGGTGGCAATAACCTGGTTGAATCGTTCTCTGTATTCATCACTCACATGACCCAAATTTGAAGGGAAAAAATCCAGATGACAACGCAAGAAATGCATTTTGAGTGACATTCAGCAGCTGAGTTGCTGATATGCAGCTAACAAGTTCAGCGCAGTTTCCAACCCGATGGCTTTCAAGAAAGTTTTGCACAACTAGCACAAGTGAATCCCAAGCCGCGAGTTCAAGCGTGTACACTTTGGATCTGAATGTGTCATCACGCATTATTTTGCAGATTTCAAGACTAGCAAAAATTCCTGCTTTTAGCTTGCCATCCGTTTTGATCTTTCCAAACCTATCCTTCAGATACTGGAAACCATTTCCACTACGATCCATTACCACAGCAAAGATTTTCATTTTCATCATTGTGTCACTTTATAATGATTGCTATCATCACGACTGTTCCATAGACGCAGCAAACGGCATTGCCTTTCTCTTGCCATTGAGCCACAGTGTGAGGCCAGAGTAGCACACAGTGCAGCAGCTGTGAGGTGCCCAGCTTTTGTCTTAATCCCTAACTTTACACCCGAAATAATACTTGTAAGCAACTGTCACTATCTTCATCAGGTTTTCGTACTGATCGCATGAGGTGTATTTACCACAATTATAGCAAAAATTGTCTGGATGGTTAATGCAGCTCCGCCCAGTCATCTTTAGAAGAAAACAGACTCATAGACTTACTAGCAAAATAAGAAAACAGTACTTGACTCATCTTGCATTATATAAAGGCTTAGCAACTACTGACATCAGCTCACTGAGCTGCTCAGATGTGCCCAGACGCTGCAGGAACATGCTGCTGTCATCATGTGTTATAAACCAGGCGCTGGAAGCCATGATGCAGGTAATGGTGCATCAAATATAATGTTGCCATACATCACTACCCGGGCCCATTTACAACGTAGTCGCCAAACTGTACTTGGCCTATAACTTAACATCTAGATGAATTTTGACTTCTGATTTAGAATCAGCGCACTGTATTTTATGTAAAGAGCATGTTTTATTCCAAGTAGCAAAATCTTTGTTGTCCTGTGTTATAAGACTACAGTAGCTTCTTTAGATGCAAGAAAATATTTGATTTGTTTACTTTGTTAAGCCTCGATTAGCTGCATGTACAGATATAGATATCATACAAAATTTATGATATATTTATGATACCATATCAAGACTTGCTTTCTTAAGAACGAGTGACATCATTGATGACATTTAAAGCCTTGGTATTTCAGAGAGCGTTTCGAGTGTTGGTGTGTCTTTTGGATATGTGTTTTAAAGTAGTTTTCTTGAGCAGGTTGGATTGACAAATCAAAGCTACCACAGTTGTTTTGATTGGCTTAGCCACTAGGCTAAAAGTAAACTCTTACGCAAGCTGGCTCAGGATGTCCCGGTTTTTATTATTAACTTTCTTTGGTCCAGATATTAAACAGAGCAGACATTATGTCCCAGATACCTTTGAATGTTCAAACCAGCACAACTTGTTTCTGAAACACTAACAGGTAAGTCCAAAACAGCAACTCTGTTTCTTTAATCAACATTAAGACTTTTACCGGGAAAAGTGAACGGAAGTCCTTCATCAAACCACCTGATCAACAAACTCCGACTTGAAGAAAAAGCAAACTTTGTAGCTGCTCCATCTACCTCTGCTTGTTTTACACAGAAAAAAAAATCTGTAGTAAGTCTCAAAAATATGCAGATGAACTGTTAAGTTAGTCTGATACTATGTTTAAATGTTAGAGCTTGTTTAACACATTATAATCATTTACGGGAATATTATGTCAATATTATATGTAATAATTTATTGAAATAAGCTTCCAGAAGTTGTATTTAAATGTGCAGATGAGGAGTTTTTCCTCCACACTGTCATATGATGGGGTTTTCTCTGATGCTTTATTGTGGGGTCCACCTTACAATATAAAGTGCCTTGAGGCGGCTGTTGTTGTGATTTGGCGCTATATAAATAAAACTCAATTGAAAATGGAACTTCTTCTGTATCGTTGTAACAAGAATCACATGCAAAACTGTAACTGTGCAGTTACCTTTTACTGTACCACCATTCCATAAAAAGTATGCTGTTACTATGTTTTCTCTAAGTAGATTGCTAACTCACTGTATCACTATAATCAGACTTGTTATGCTTCTCTGAAGATAAACACAACAGATGACGGGAATGTTTTTGATTCCATATATATCTGATATCAGGAACCTAAGCAGTGTCAGCCTTGACTAATATTTGACAGGGAGACTGCCTCTTTTTGAAAACTGTCGGTAATTTGTTTTTCCCCTTGTCGAATCAGAATTGAGGGTTGGAGCAGTTTCCTCAACCACATAGCAGGATCAGAGGACTTCTGAATATTAATTTCTCTCTCAGCGATGGCTCTCCTGCACAGTGTCCTCTCTCCGGTCCTCAGCTGGACATGTCTCTGTTCACTAATGTACATATTCAGTACTGGACTGGTTGCTGCTGGTTCCTCGGTCCTTTCTATCACCTGATCAGACTCTTCCACCCTGACTACGTCAAACCTCTGTTAATGGCACCTGGTAGGGTAAAACACCAACAGTCAAGTAATTAAACCACAGTTTTTATTCTTCTCTTACATCATCCATCAATTACTTCCTTTAGCCAGCATGACAATGAAAAAGAGTCTCATTTATCACCACCTACAGCCTTGGCTAGGTGGGTCAAATATTTCAGTTCTTGTCATCTGTGCTTACACAGTTTACAGGACTTGCACCTTTTTCCAGTTTTTTATGTTCCTTTTAGCATCACTAACTCTGTTTCTCTTTTGTCTCAGGACACAGTGTGCTGATCAGAAATGGCCAGGTGTGGTTTCGTAAAAGACGACTGCTGACTCCAGCTTTTCATTTTGATATTTTAAAGAGCTACATTACCATATTTAACTCCTCGTCTAAAATCATGCATGTAAGATTCACACATACAGTCACACATACACTCATGCACAAAACTATTTTTGGTTTCAGTGATCATTTAGACGAGCAAGCATTTCATCCATTTTGATGGGTTGTTGGTAAAAGTGGTGCTGCCATGAGGAAAATTCGCTTTACAATTAGTTTTAGATTCTTAATAAGTCATCAAGGTTGATTAGTAGTAGGCTGGACAAGTAAAACAACTTATTAAATTTATAAAATTGTAGAAAAATTTCTAGCAGTTCAAAATGTAAAGTTTTCATTAATTTACAGAAAATATCATTTTGTTTTCTTTTTAATTTTTGGGCACACTATCAAAAAGTTTTTTGTCAAAAAGTTTTTCCAAATTACAGAGGATGTATCCACTGAGTTTAATTCTGTCTTGTGTTCAATCTTCCACATAGCGCAGTTTTAGCAGTCATGAATGATATGCTCGCTTGGAGTGTGAGGGATAGTTTCCAGAGGAAAGGGCTGCATGCTGGTGTCCACAAGGTGGCAGCCATAGCAGGGTGGGCAGGCGGGTGGTGAATGCAGGATGATCCAGGTAGAATGTGAGTACTGACTAGCAGAGATGGGCAGTAACGCGTCACTGTAATCTGATTACTTTTTTCAAGTAACGAGTAAAGTAAGGGATTACTATTGCAAAAACGGTAATTAGATTACCGTTACTTTCCCGTAGGAACGCTGCGTTACTGCGTTACTAAAACCGTGATTTTTTTTTGCGAGAATGTCTCACAACAGTGACGTAAGCGAGTGCGCCGTTAGTGACAACAGCTGTCTGCAGATCAACAATCTCTTTACAGGAACTGCATTGGTCAGAAATTTGCCATGACAGAGCTTCAAGTTGTAGTGGCCCTGACCCTGCTCAGGTTTCGAATGACTCCAGGGGTGAACCCTGAAGTCAGGAGCAGCTCAGCTGGAGTTCGCCGTCTTCCCCAACTTGTCCTGCGTGCAGAGGGAGGCCTGTGGCTGCAGCTGGAGCTTCTGAACACACCCAAACTGAATGAGCAATCAGAGGAATGATCCAACAAGTGGAGTTTTTGTCTAAATTTCAGGAACAGGACCACACCTCATCCACGCCCCTTTCACTCTTCAGTCAATATATGCTCCTTAAACCATCATCGTACATTGTAACTGAGGATGTAGTCCCAGCTAGTGAATATAATGTTTAAACGTAATTTTTAATCACGAGTCAGGAAAAGATCAGACACAAAATGAAATTTACTGCAGGCAGTAACCTGTGTCTGCAGTAAACTGCTCCCACTTTTGTGTTCTTATGTAATATAGCTCAAACACAAAAATAAACAATTAAATCTTACACTGATGGCACCGCTCAGACACTAATTAGCTGTTTGATTTTGAGTTTTCACACATTCACATTAGGAGTGAAATCTTGACACTCACTTAACAATGAAACTCAATCTTTAACTCAGCCAGATAAAACTTTAAATCTTCTCTAATATGAAGAGAGAGAATTAACAACAGTCTTAGCAACTCTGTGTTGGTAGCACAGTTGGGTTGTAACTTAGATGTGCTCATATCTCTAAATAGAAATAAAACTGATCTTAAGACACAATTGAATTTCAGGTGGGTTTTTTCTTCCAGAAAAAAAATTAAGATCTGTAAACCAAGAAAGAAAGAAAGATTGCTAGATTAAAAGTTTATTCTACTATATTCCGTGTGATTTATACAAATTCTTCTGCAGTCAACTTTCATGTTCATGGAAGCATAATTATCAATTTGCTTCCAAGCTTCACGATGCAGTACAGGAGGATCTTCCACATTGTCTTGGGGGCAGCTTCTCTGTGGGCCCACTTAGTCTCTGACAGCTTCTGACAGCTTCTGCAGCTCCAGTGGGCGCTGCTCAGGTAACAACTTCTCCTGCATTTTAATAAATGCAGAGTGTTGTTTAGACAAGTTGGCCACAAAAGTGTAAAGCTTTTCAGTTAGGTTGAAAAAGCTGACAAAACATGTTTGATTTTGCCTTAATCTGGTTTTGGTAGAGAGTGCAATGTGTCACAGGCTCTGAGGTCATTTTTGTATTTGTCTCATTTTGATATGTGATTAGTTTTGTGTCATTTCCTATCTAGCTTTAGTTTAAGCTGTTATTTATTATTGTTCCCTTGGTTTTCTATGTTTGAGTTCTTGCATTATTCATCACGTATTAGGTATGTTAAGTTTGTGTTGTCATGTTTAGTTTTAGTGTTTCCTGTTTTATTCTGACAGTGTTATGTGTTCTTTGGTCATTGTATTTAGTTTCACTCCTCCTGGTCCTGTCATTAGATTCATGTCAGTCAGCTGTTTCCTCATGTGTCTCCACGTCCCCTGATCACCTCATGTATGTATTTAAGCCTTTTGTTTTCTTCATGTCATGGTCGGGTAGTCTGTTTATCTCACCACAGTTACAGTCATTATCTTCATCGTCGCCTGTTTTCCTCGCCATAGTCATAGTCTTTGGCTGTTTATTTCCACCACAGTCATAGTTATAGTTTTTGGTCTTAGTACCTCATAGTATTTTGTTTCTTAGTGTTTTTATTTCGTTTGCTTAGGTTTTCCTGGTTTACCCCTACCGTCGTCTCAATAAAGGATCACTTTTCTGTTACATCTTACAACTCCTCGTCTTCATCTGCTTTTGGGTCCTGTTTCCATACACATCGGCGCACCCCGCCGTGACAGCCTGACAGGCCTTTGGATTATTTTTTTTTTTGTTGTTGTTGTTTTCCTGACTGAAGTCCCTTAAAGTGCCCCCTCTTGTTTGCAGCCCCATCATAACCTTGACCCCAGATGTTTCAATCTTCAGATTATTTTCTTCCAGTACAGCCATTACTAGCTTTTCAACAGCATCTCCAGTAGCTAACTCCAAATTACACACCTGAAGGAAGTGCTCCTTGATTTCCATATTGTGTACATATCTGACAACAAAGGAAACCTGCTTGGTGTGAACACCTCTGTGGTTTCATCCATTAATATAGGAAAACACACACTTCTTCAGTCTCAGCTAACTGCAGGAAGTCACTTGGATGAGTGACGAAACGCTTCTCCAACTGAAAATGTCCAGATGAACAGAATCAACCTTTTGGGATTTATTTACCTGGATGATTAAGCACGCATCAAGACGTTATTTTATCAATATTTTTTAAATGATAGCAGCGCAAACAAATGTTTGCAGCACAAACGTAGCACAAACCTTTGACATCAATTTTGTTTGATTCCATTAATGTGTGTGTGTGTGTGGGGGGGCTGGTTGACCTCTGATGACCTCTAGAAATTTTTATTAATATGTTTAAAATGAAAGCGGCACAAAATAAAATTTTTGCAGCACAAATGTTTGATACCATTTTTGTTGGATTTGAAGAAGGTGGGGGGGCAACTTCACTCACATATAACAAACTGTCTCAGAAAGGATATTTTAGTAATACAACATTTTACAATTTTTAGTGATAACAGAACAGACTCATCACATCAAGCCACAAAATCTTCTAAAACCTGTCCGTGGCCTGACTCCTCCCCCACAAGGATCAAGCTTAAAATTATTATAAAGCCTATCATAGTGGGCAATCACAATGAATCCACCAGATGTCACCGAACATGACTGTGTTGAAAAGCTTTAAGTAAAGAACCTTTTTCAGTGCTTCAGGAAGCTTCATTTGGCCATCATTACCGATGGATTTGACGAGCAGGGGTGGAGAACTGGGGAGAGGAATCCTGAATGGCATTTTGTCCAGTTCCAGCCAGACCGGATACTACCACTCTCAGCCCCATGTGAGAAACTCACCGTAATGAAAAAAAGAGAAAGGAAAAAAATCCAGATTCTCCATTGTGCAGCATGAGGACGTTTGAACTTTTAAATTATTAACAGATGTGGATGATGGGCCATAAGCCCGAATTTAACTTGCATGCAACAAGTTAAATTACTGAAAAGCCCATGTACAGATGTTCATTTCTTGAGAATATGCGTGCTGTATGTGAATGATTTTCCACAAATAGCTCCTTTCATTGGCCAGCTTTAGTTTTTAAACCAACTGGTAGACCTGATACCAAATGTGTTGCATCCCTTGGTGACCTTGTGTTCTCTCCAGTACTTAGAGGTGGTAAACAGGGTCACAGCAATTAAGTCTAGTATTTTAGGCTGCTGTTATCATACACTGTAAGTGGGTAAGCAATGAATGCATTCAGGATGTGCTGACAAGAAAGCCCCTCTCATATACGTCACCTGTAATATTTTTGTTTTGGTTAGTTTTAGTTCAGTTTTTAATGACCATCAAATCAAAGTAAAAACATGGGGGCATTTTCTTATATAAAGTAAATTCTCAGAGACAGCATCTTGGTTTGATTGTTGGTTTGTTTTTAATTACATTTGTTGTTGTTTTTAATGGAGTATATGAGAAGGGTGCATAGTGGCATTTAATCATAACATAAAATTACAGTTCCAATTGGTAAATAAAGCAAAAAGCAAAAAATAAATAAATAAATAAGACATGCAGGAAACGCTATCTCAGACATGTATATTTGTGGGTACAGAAGTAGAGCGCATGGGGATTTTTCCTATAGTTGTGTTATTGTGTTGAAAGGTCATTATGTCATGATCATAGTGCACAGGTAATCCTCCACATTTGACTACAACTATTCTGTCAGTGAGAAGCCTGCCCTTATACTGACATTTGGGTTTCCTGGCTCCATCATTTTTTACTTCACATATAACAATACGAAACTTGGCTGTTCTCTCTGTCATGCCACTCCTGGGATCACATCTTCCTTGACCATTACAAATGGCTTTGACCTGTTCGTCATCACTAAGGATGAATGTGTTAGCATCCTTACAACTGTTGTCAACATTGTAGATCTGTTTACTTTTTATTTCTGCATCACATTTTTTCACACTCATCCTAGCATCTATATGCTGTCGTCTAAACTTTTCATAAGGGGTTTCATTCTGCCGCTTCACCATTGGTTTGGTTTGAAGATTGGCTGGTTTTGAGAGTCCAGTGGCAAAGAGCAGCACAAGCAGCAAACAGGTAAACAGGATCCTCATTGTTTCCTGGAGAAGAAAAAACAGGAACATTTTCATGATTTAGAATTTAGAGGACCAAAAGTAAACTCAGTTAACGATGAAACAGCACAGAAGAACAGGACCAGATCATTATTCTCTGCTGGACCGGTAATTACTCTGTTTGAAAATCCAATATTAAACCAAACAGTGTGACTATGACGCTAAAATGAATGTACCTCATATTCTGATACTGTGATGGTCCAGTCGGGTTAATGTTTGTGTGTCAGTGTAAAGACTAAAGGTATATAGAATACCTGTGTCTGTGAAGTCCCACCGTTATGCCATCTGCACTTTGGTCCCGCTATCGCTCTTGAAAATGATTTGCGCGTCTACATCGCCATTTATAGTTCAATATGTGGCCGGAAGTAAGGTGTGCTCTGAGGTGCATCTAGCAAACTCGAGTCATCATTTAAAAACAATACTAACAATTTTCCTTTATTAATATAAACACATCAGTCGATAATTTCTTAGTCGTTTTGATGTAGCCTTTTAAATGATTAAAGGATAAGATCCCATCAATATAACAGCTTCCAAAAGTTATATATCAAAGCCAGTCTCATTTTTGTTCTTTCACAAAGATATGGCAATATTATATTATTATAATATTGTGGTGTTTGCTGGAAAGAACTTTGATCTTAAAAATATATGAACATACCTGTATAGCAGTTCATACGTTAAGTAGCAGTTTAGCTATTTATTAACAACACATTTAACAACAAAAAAGCCTTTTGAATGACTTTCATGGGTGTTGGAATTTATATTGCTGTGTTTATGAGGTTTACCTAAAGGCACCAGGAATTCACAACTTTAATTCACATACATTGAACTATACATGAGAAAATGACAGACCACAATCAATAATCTTAGCAGTCACAGCTAAGTATTGTCTTCATATATGTAAAAGCTGTGTTAGCACTAATATTGATATAAGGTGTAGTCACAAAACTACAGCATTCTAGCCAAAGTTAATTATAATATTAGAAATGTATCATTTAAACGTTTCCCAATGACGACACTCACCATGTTTTTTGCTTAACTGATGAGTGATTGGTGGGTTAAACTGCAGGTGTTCAGGCACGAGTCAGTCTTGTGGAACAGCAGGTGGTGAAGATGACTTCAGTCACTGAAATGCTCTGAAGGTGGAATTAATGTTAAAGTTTATTTAAGGATAAATTAATAAAGATTAATACAGAAATTTAGTTATCTCTCTTTCTTGGTTGTATGAAAAATAAGCTTGTTTCCTATAAAAATGTAAATAAAATAAAAAATTAATGTACATGTAAAAAGTTCTTACCAAAAGAGGATTAAAGACTGAGCAGAGATCAAGGCAAGTGCAGAGCGCTGTTATTAAATTCTACCTGAGCAGGAAAAAATAACACTTGGATCTGGGGGCTTCAGTTTTCACACATTTCAGTAGCGCCACCTTAATCATTTGCATCAATATCTACATCATCAGCCCACCTGTTCTAAGAAACGTGAGCACTTCCCTGTTTGTGGTTCAGAAGCATACTGCAAACATAATGTCAGGAATAATGTCCACAGCATGCTGATGCAGGGTGTCATTAATGGCAGGATTTATGGCGTTATTATGGTGACGTTACCGCGGGAAAAGCATTTTTGCAGCTCAGCGTTGAAGCTGCAGTTCGCAAAAAAGGTTTGCATGTTTTCCCTGTAACATGTGAAGCTTAGCACAATACTATATTTTAAAGTGCGTGACATTTGCCAAGTATAAAAGGTCTTTTATAGCCGGCTTCTCTCGCTTACGGCCATACCACCCTGAACACGCCCGATCTCGTCTGATCTCGGAAGCTAAGCAGGGTCGGGCCTGGTCAGTACTTGGATGGGAGACCGCCTGGGAATACCAGGTGCTGTAAGCTTTTGCACTTCCACACACAAACTGCAGAGGGCGCCGCTGCTCACTCAGTGGAGGCAGCTTCAGGAAAAGCTTCATGACAACGCTCCTCATTGCATTTCGCTTTTGTGCAAAACAAAAAAACAACAACAACAAAATATTTAGGAAATACACAAACTTATTTATTCTGTAAATGTACAAAAGCTCTGTGGCTAGTCCGTCTGGCCTCAGTCGAGAGGAACTTGTTAACCTTGTAGTTTGCAGCGGGCGCAGTGTCAACCTGACACCCATGTGCAACCAGTTTGAACTCTTATTGGCTGCCGACTGCGGTCCCGAAGAGTACTGAATAAATGCGCATCAGTGTGCTACCCTGAGCAGGGAACACGATATCATGGAGTTTCTAACACGGAGCAAGGTGAAGGTGACGCTACTATGCAGGACCGCCCCTGCTTAGCTTCAGAGATCAGATGAGAACAGGCTGGTATGGCCGTAAGTGAGAGGCTTCCTCGACAACGGGGTTCATGTAGATACTGTAACCCATTTATTGGGATTTAAAAAACAATTTAGAGTGAAGCATATTGATTAGTTTCTACTTTTTTTAATAGCTGCACATGACAACACAGTTATAATGCATACTTAATGCAGCAATATTCACGTCATAAACAATTGTGAGTCTTTGCACAAAAACTTCTACAGGTGCTCTGTGCATGTAGAGAGATATTGATGTAACGCTTGAAGAATTTGACATTACTACATGAGCGGAAGAGCTCTTTGCGCAAGACTCACTAACCATCCTATTGGAAAATGAGCTTAAAGAGTGCCTCACATCCGTTTCAACATTTAAACTGTCATTTGTGTGTTGAAGTGCAAAAGCTTACGGCACCTGGTATTCCCAGGCGGTCTCCCATCCAAGTACTGACCAGGCCCGACCCAGCTTGGCTTCCGAGATCAGACGAGATCGGGAGCGTTAAGGGTGGCGTGGCCGTAAGCGAGGGACTGCTTCACAAACAGCCTCTTTATACATGCTGTGATGACACAGTCATGCTTACGTTTTTTTAATGTCCTGTATATAAGTTGAATTGTCCAAAGCACAAAAATGTTGCACTTCCAAATGGTCCTAACACACTGTGTGCTCTGTGTCACTTTAACACTGTGCTGTGAGAAACGAACATGTGTTATTATGGTGACGTTACCGCGGGAAAAGCATTTTTGCAGCTCAGCGTTGAAGCTGCAGTTCGCAAAAAAGGTTTGCATGTTTTCCCTGTAACATGTGAAGCTTAGCACAATACTATATTTTAAAGTGCGTGACATTTGCCAAGTATAAAAGGTCTTTTATAGCCGGCTTCTCTCGCTTACGGCCATACCACCCTGAACACGCCCGATCTCGTCTGATCTCGGAAGCTAAGCAGGGTCGGGCCTGGTCAGTACTTGGATGGGAGACCGCCTGGGAATACCAGGTGCTGTAAGCTTTTGCACTTCCACACACAAACTGCAGAGGGCGCCGCTGCTCACTCAGTGGAGGCAGCTTCAGGAAAAGCTTCATGACAACGCTCCTCATTGCATTTCGCTTTTGTGCAAAACAAAAAAACAACAACAACCAAATATTTAGGAAATAC